CTCTCTCGGACCCTGACAAAGACCATTCCAGTGTCTTGTGCCCATGGGGACGGTGTGGCCTCCACGGACGACAGCACCCCCGGAGAGGAGAGCAGCTCGAACTGCCAAGTAGACACTTGGCAGGGCTCAGATTTCCTGGACCGGATGGCAAGCCCTAGCCCGGAGGCCCGCGCAGCTCTGGCGGGGCACAGGATGCGCGGTCCGGCGTCCGCAGCCCCGGCATCCGCCTGCGCTCGGCCCGCGGCGCAGCTGCCGCAGATCCGTGGGGGTGCCTGGAAACACCGCCTCCTGGGTGCCTGGAAACGGCAGGAATCCCCGTCCGGGCCCCAAGTCCTCCCCCAGCGGGGGCCACGGGGCGGAGTCGCCCACCTGTCATCCGAGACGCCCCACGTGGGCCAGCTGGGGTGAGGGGCGGGGGTTGAAGGGAGAGAGAAAAGGCAGAGGCGGCGAGGGAGGCTGAGTGAGAGTGGGGAGGAGAGAAGCGGGGAGGAAAGGGGAGGAGGAACGAAGGGAACTCTCGAAAGCTGCGCACAGACGGAGCGAGGAGTCGAAGGAAGAACAAAGTGGACCCAAGGCATCCAGAGAGGAACAGGTAAGGAGGGACAGGTGAACAGGAGGGAAGCGCTGAACTAGAGAGAGTGAGGAAAGGAGAAGAGGCGGGAGTGAGGAAAGGCCTGCGGATAAGGGAGGAAGGTAAGATGAAAGCAGAGCTGAAGGAGAAAAATCCGAGGGTGAGGAGGAGCGGCGGTCCTTCAAGGAGGGGCGAGACAGAGCCTGGGGCCGCTGCGCCTTTAAGGTTGCTTAGGCGACGGCTCTGGCCAGAGCGAGGCACATTGACGTCAACAGCCAAGCGCTGATTGGCTGCGGCCGGGTTGTTTCCGGTGGAGCCGCCGCGGAGCCGCTATCGCAGAGTGGAGCAGGGCAGGGAGGGAAGTGCTGAGAGAACTCAGCAAGCCGCAGGCTCGCACTTGCAGTCCCGCGCCCTTCGCCGCCCGTCCACAGGTAAGTGGGGTCGACGAGGGTCCCCGGCGCGGGGAGCCTCGCTGCCCCGCCGCCCGTTTGGGGGAGCTGGACCGATCCAAGATGGCGTCACGGGGAGCGACCTGCAGGGGGACGGCCGCACCCCCTGCCCCTCCCCGGCCCCAGCAGGCGCCTCCCCGCAGGCCTCACTCCCGGGGCCGCGCCCCCGACCCCAATCCCGCACCTCCAAGGTCCCCAGGCCGCGGGAGCGTCCGCTCCAGTGCGGGGTTCCCTGGCCGCCCCGCCCCCCACGCCCGCGCGCTCCCCCCCACTTCGCGTCGCTCGGGCCCCCGGCCCTCCGCGGCCTTCGCCGGCCCTCCGCGGCCAACGCGCCCCCGCCGCCTCCGCCCCCGCGCGCCGCGGCCTTCTCGCTCGCTCGCGTTTTCTGAAGGACAGCAGCTCGATTTTGCCGGAATCGGCCGTGGTTCCCTTCGGCGTTCCGGGCTGGTCTTGAGACCCAGCAGTTCTCGTTTTCCTCCCTCCTGGCTCGCCATCGCCAGCAATCGCGTTGCCTCCTTCCCGCGATTACCCACCCCACACACCCGCAGTGATTGTAGCCTGACTCCTGTGTTTCCTTTTGTCCCTTCCCACCGCCCTGCCTTGCCCGATTTCGGCCCCCACCCCCACCCCCCCAGGCCTCCTCGCCGCCACTGTGGCCTTCCGACTAGAGGAGGATAGGGATCTGCCTGCCTTCTTCATTTTGTGGCCGCGACTCTGGCATAAGTGAAGGGCACTCCGCTGTCCTTCCTCTCGAAAATACGCGGTTAATAACCTCTCAAGCCCTCCCGCTCAGGGCGTGTGTGATGTCCAACGACGTAACTACTGGAGAGAGTCCCAAAAGGCTGGTCTTTTCAGAGGAAAGCAAGCTCGCACTTCCTCCAGGTGACCCCCAAAGGAGGTGTTCCTGGCTGGTCTTAACGGGGTGCAGTCTGCATCAGCAAGAGTTTCTCGGTGGTTTTAAAGGGTGCCTCGCATGTAACCCTTTCGAAACAGTTTTATCACAACTGAATTTCCAAAAGAGAGAATCTTGTGTGATTTCTTAAGAGCAGAGACAATTCATTGAAAAATTTTGAAGTATTCAGTAATTTTGAGGGGGAGCAGCTAAATTGTTGGGCTCTTAAGACCAAGTATAAATACAGAGTCAGTCTAGGTATATTGGATTAAAAATCTTAAGGCCACGAAATTCGGATATTCAGGGGTTCTAGTACATGGCGACTACAGTATCTTGGGGGCATTTTTGGTAATGCGCTACCTTATTACTACCCGTGTCATCTTTTTGGTCTTTTTAATACATTGCTTTGTTTCAAAGAAAGAACCACTTTCACGTCTTAGACCCAGTTCTCTCGTTTCTACCAACCAGGGGTTGACTTTGAATGATTTCTCTGGTCAGTTGAATACATGTATTGATATTCCTGAAATATGTCTGCATGTTTTGAAACATAAAAGATATGATTTATCATTGTTCTTGGTAGCCTTCAGTATTATTTGAAATGTAGAAAATTCTACTGAAGGCGATTCTTAGTTCTCAGCAATGACCTGGAAAAGTGGCTGCTATAAATCCATTCTCAAGTGAAGGACCTTTTTTTTTAGTGTTTATTTCTGAAGTAGCAGCATGGTTCTTGTTCTGTGTCCTCTAAGGTATGTTGTCCGGTAGCTGCACACTTTCTCACGGTCTGTTAATCTGCTCTTTATTGACCCTTATGAAAGTTGTCAAAACAACATGAGTAACAGTGTAGCACTTGAACTCTTTATTCTGGCATTTCTTCTTTTACATTTACAGTTTCATTTCAGTGGTTCGTGTGCATATTTGGAAAAGTCTGATTATTGATTTCAGTTGCAGAGTGGAGGGGACCTTGTTTTTACTTCTAATCTTAATTGTTTAGTAATTAGGAGTTAGAAGGAAAACAGCTTATAACTGTTGTTAAATGACTAAGGTTTTATTCCAGTGTAAGTTTAGCTGCCCATTGTTATATCTCTATTTTACTTCACATCAAGGTAGTTCGAACCCTCTAAAATTCATTAAATGCAATTTGTTATTGAATCTTCATGTAATCTTAAAACTTAACATATTTTAATACTTTTTTGTCCAGGTGAAGAAAATGTTTTGACATTTTTTCCTGTCCAAATCTTTTATAGTTTACTTGGTAAGGTTTTTATTCTTCTATTAAGGATTTTCTCTCTTACTAATGAGTAAGTGTATTACAATTAAGGGCTGGAATCTGGTAAAGGCGTCTGGAATAAAAGGTTGCTTTTAAGATTCATCTGAGGTTCCTTTGGTACTTAAAAATTTTTTGATTGCGCTAGTAGTTGGCTAATCAGATCCCTTGCTCCCCTGGTTTGCTGGGTGACATTAGGGCCTCCCCTGGGATAGGAGTTCCGTATACGGAATGTCAGATGTTCTTCATTGTGCTTACTTGCTTTCTTCACTTAGGGCCTGCTCATGTGCCCTTGTGATTCTCTGTCCTGTTTACCATTTACACACTTCCCACGTCATCATGATTTCTTTTACAGGGGAGAACTGAGTGAAATCCCCTAAGGGCCTGACTCCTCAGCAGCCGCCTCTGCCGGGGACTGTAGCTCCTACTTCCTGCAGCCGAGGTTGTTGGCCTCTTACTGTTGCTGCCTGCAGAGTCTGGATCCTGCCACAGCAATTGAATGAAACACTTCCTTGGAAGAATGCTGGTTCTGTCCATATCTTATTCCCTAGCCCCACCTCCCTTTAAAAAAACGTCTACTTAGGGAGGAACAAAAATCCTTGTGAATCAGCCCTAATGAATTTGTTAAGTCAAAGGCCAGATTGGCATTTGCTCTTTATAAATAGTTTACATAAGCATATGTTTTTTCCTTGTAGAGAACCATGGCGTCTGGCAGCTCTGCCTCCAGCGAGGAGGAGCGCAGCCTCCGGGAATGTGAGCTGTACGTGCAGAAGCACAACATTCAGGCCCTGCTGAAAGATTCTATTGTGCAGTTGTGCACCGCCCGGCCGGAGAGACCCATGGCATTCCTCAGGGAATACTTTGAGAGGCTGGAGAAGGTAAAAATAAGCGTGGGGAGATGAGGAGACGACCCTGACAACTGTTCAGTGTAATGCTGTAGAATGTCACCAATTTGTAGCTTTTGGAATAAAAAGAATTCTGAGCAAATAAGTCTAAAATAGGATTTGAAAAAAAGAAATACAGCTAAGGCTGTATTTGTAGCGATTTCTAACTTTGTAATCAGAGTTTATCAGAAAATAAATCCGTATGCTAAGTTTACTTGGCTAACAAAAGGTTTCCAAACTTGTAACTGTTTTCTTTGATACATAAAACTGGCTAAAATAACTGATTACAATTGATCAGATACAATTGAGCAGAAGTAGTACAGCATTTGTATGAAATGAGAAATTCTATAGTACTTGAAATCAGTTAATACTTTCTTCTTTAGCAAAGCAAGTAAACTTAACACTTATCCCAGCCTTTTAAACCCAAGGTAGTGAAACATTTTAGTCTGGCTTGTGAGTGATGTATCAGAAAATCTGAATGAGTGAAGTCCATTTTATTGTAGAAAATATCTCAGATGAATTGACTATAGAGCAGAGATCAAGGTTGGTGGTTGTCAAAATCTATTTTATTTACAGTATTGGTCAGGATTTGTTTCTACTTGAAATAAGTTAATCCAGTTTTGATTCTTTGTTTTTCATCTTCATTGTGTCAGTGTTACCTAAGCATATGGTGTATGTTTTTCTAAGCAAAATGATAAGTATGCGTCAAGGACAATGCTTTTAATTCCATTCCCTCAATAAATGATGAATAGGGAAGTCTGGATTGTTAAATGTTTTCAGTAGTTTGATTTGTTTCTGTAAATCAGCGAGATAAATTTATAGGTTTTCTTATGCATATTGAAGCTTTGATGTGGTTCATAATGATTATGAACCAATTAAGAAGCATTTCTTAGGTATATGATCATTATCTAATTGAATAATGGAAATATTTGTAATATATCCCATTGTTTGGACAGTTTCTTAATCAGCATAGTTTATTAGTAAAATAATCTGTTTATACTACGATTATAAAATATTTGGGTGGCTCATTGATCAGGCACCTTACCAATAACAACAACCAGCCCTATAAATGTAGCCATGCTGTCTTGGAATTATAGTAGGAAGTTTGGTGCTCTCTTTATTAAGCAATTTTCAAATAGTGAAATTTATCAGAGCCAGGCTGCTAGGGGCGTTTTTGTTTGAGATAAAGTGTGTTCCTGGAGATCTGGTTCTGAAATGGGTCACTGTAAGGTGATCCTTCTTCTCTTTGGACATCAATAGAAATCATTAAATGAGGGGATGAAGTTGGTGAGACATTAAGCATGTGTCTTTTTATAGGGAGTGTTGAATGTGTGGTGCTAGTTTCAAAGCCTGTGCTTACATAGCATTGGTTAAGCACTCCCCAAGGGGGAAAGCCAGACATCCTTAGTTTCTTTGCAGATGGGATTGTTAGATGTAATGTGTGTTGGCTTCTTTTAATAAAAGTCACAGCTTAACAGACTTTTCCAGTACAAGGGTCTTTGTTCACTTGCATGCATTCCTTAGCCAGGGCTGAATATAGATATGTGAACTTTTAAGTAACTAGATTTTCAACTTCTAAACAGGTCATTATTCTGTACATTAGGTATTAGGTTTATATGTCTGAAAATACAGTCGCATTGTTGCCTTTTCCTTCTCTGTGTTAACCAGGGGTCATGTTTCTGGTATCCTCAACCACTCAGTGCGTCAGAAACTCACAGTTGGTCTATTGAAGTATTTTACTTCAGGCCATCATCTGGAATTTGAGTTCTGTTTTATGCATATATTTATTAGAACCTTGCCTGTCTGATAGATGAGAGGAATTTTAGTAGCTACAACCATTGAGTGTCTCCTATGTGAAGCACTTTATATACATACATACTCATTATTTCAAACGTGTGAAGTAGGTGACTATCACCATTTTACAGGGGTAGCAGATACAACTAAGAAATTAAGTAACTTGGCTACCTGTGGTCATACAGTGTAATAGCTTTTGTAGCAGCAGCACTCCTCCTTGGAGTTTCAGTGGCTTACTACAGAAGGCCTTCCTTGGTTCCTAGTCGTATGCGCTCTTCTGGGCTCAGCCCATCTTGTTTTCTTAACTCCACAGTGTGGTGTTATGGGGCTGAGTGGAGGGAGCAGCCACTATATAGAGCACGCTGCTCCCAAGGCAGAGCGGGGACAGAAACTTCAGCGGGCAGAGCCACACCATACAAGCGGACGTGGTATGGCACGTCCACTTACATTCCATGGCCGAAGCAAGTCATATGGCCAAGCCCCATGCCAGTCGGTGGGAAGTGGACTTCACCTTCAGGGAAGGATGGAATGGCAAAGGCTGGGAGGGAACAAATAATTGTGAAAACGTATTTAGTGGTAGGGACCGAATCTGAACTTAAAACGTTAGACCATTCAAGTATATGACAGTGACGGAAGGAGAGAGGACCCTGGATAATGCAATATACAGATGATGCATTATAGAATTGTACTCTTGAAACCTATATAATTTTATTAACCAGTGTCACCCCAATGAAAAAAAACAAACATTAGAACGTAATGTTATTAAACCAGTAGGTAGCCTGGGAGGGTTTTTTTGTGTGGGGGGTGGGGTGGGATTGTTTTAATACATGAAAGAAGTGAAGAAGGAAGAGACTGACAGAATGACAAGAATAAGAACAAGGATATAAAAATGTAATACATATTATATATCAATCTCAATGGCTCCGAGTCGTTAAGATTAGGTGATATCTGATTTGCTGTTAAAGATAAGAATCCATGAAACACTGTTAAAATCAAAATGCTTTTGGTACTTCAAAATTATCTTAAAAATTCAGTTAGAATACAGTTCCAAATGAGATGTTATTAGTGAAATTTTTAATGATTTTTTTGTGAAATTCCAATGACACATTTTGGGAGTAGAATTTGTGTTTTCATTTATACTCTTAAACTTTGGGAGAGACTTGTGTTTTTTAGGTTGGTGTTAATAGGGAATGGGGAAACCTTACTGGTTATTGCAATTACCAGAATGAAAATGAAGTGAGTTTGCTAAAAAAATTGTCTGCATATTCATACATGTTGAAAATTTTGCAGGTCCAAATGGGTGTAACAATAAAACATCTCTGTCTCACTCGGTTGTCTTCCTTGAATGCATCCAGTGTTCCATAGGTAGTATATGGGCATTTACAGACAAATTCATATATAAAAGAGCTTTCTAGTCTTTTCCAGCACGTGCATGGCATTCCATATTATGGGCATAGTGTAATTTATTTAATCACTCGATTGATGACCAGTTTGGTTGTTTCCAGTGTTCTATTAAAAACTATGATACAATGAATAATTTTGTTTATATATCTTTTCTCATATATGTGCACCTCAGAATAAATTTCTAGAAGAATTATTGGATGATTTCGTTAAGAAGTAAATGCATTTGTAATCAAATATACAAATATTCTAAAGCTATTTTTGTTATATGTTTTTCCTTTTAGCTTTCTTTTTTTAAATTTTTCCTTTTATTTTTCTAATTGAAAATTAGGAAATCCAGAGAAATGAGAAAAGCAAACCCCTCCCTCTAAAAAGTAAAAAAATAAAATTCAGGCGTGGTTCTACTAATAGAAATGAACACTGTTGCTACCATGATGGTAATTGTTCTGGACTTTTTTTTTTTGCATGTATGTAGTTCTTTTATTTGTCTTGATGCCAAAAGGAGGGCTGAGTACCATGCAAGAAAAAAAAAAGTAGGCATCTCCTTTATTTCATTTTTATCAAAAAATTTTCTGCAATAAATGCTAATAAGTTAATTTTGAATTTCAAAGATGGTTTAGAAAAATAATGGAGAATGAGTCAAATAAGAAAGTAGTGGGTAACACATTCTTGTTTTTTCATTTTTATTTTACGTCAGGCATAATAACTCGTTCTTTACAGAACTGAGAGGAATTTCTTCTTAAAGGCCCTAGATTTGAAAAATAAGAATGTTAAATAGTTCATCTGTTTTTATGTAAATTGGTTTAACAAGAAGTTTTTAAAAGAAGTTAAACTTTTTTTTGGTTTAACATCAAGTGTAAATACTACTAATAAAGAATGCTTCTAGCTCCGCTGGGAGAAGTATTGTTAGATTTGATTACTTAAATTCTTGGTTACCATCACATTCCTTGTTTGTTTCTGAGACTCCAGCTAGAAATGAATTCCATGGGCTCAGGACCCTCTTACTGGTGTTTATATTTTCCTTGCCTAATATAGACTTGACCTGCAGATCAAGAGAATGCTTATTGAATTAATGAAATAACCCAGTAATCTAGACGTCTTTGGATCACTACTGTGCTTAGATAACATTCTTTTTTGGGGGTGGGGGTTTCATGTTATCTGCAGCAGCACACAAACACCCTCATTTCCCAGGACTTTATTCTGCAGTTCATTACTGTTGTGTGTATTACAAATTATTGTTAATGTATTGCTATAATGAGTAATTTTTTACTTGTGTGTTATGTGTCCTTGCAATAATTAATGGCTTTTGTTCATTAGTAAGTATAGCATCGCTTATCATTTGAGAAACAGTACAGCCCTTTCAGAGTATTTTCTTATCAAGCTCTAGTCCATTTTCTCCCAATTGAAATTGGCCTTTCCCCTTAACTTTCAAATTGGTAATAGAGGAAGAGATTTGAAGTGATTGAGATGGATGGACTCTCATTGGAATATGAGAATACCAACTTTACATCCTGAAAGATCTCATTTTATAAATCTGTAATTATTTTCAGGAAGAGGCAAAACAGCTTCAGAATCTGCAGAAAGTAAGCACTCGTGGAGATTCGAGGGAGGATGAAATCTCTCCTCCTCCACCGAACCCTGTGGTGAAAGGCCGGAGACGACGCGGAGCCATCAGTGCTGAAGTCTACACGGAGGAAGATGCTGCATCCTACGTGAGAAAGGTAGCCTTGGTGTCTGCACACTGGGCCAGCGCTTTAGGGACCCATGTGGTGGTCCTGGTGTCTTTTGATGAATGTGTGCACAGTTCTGAATAGTAAAACACAAACAGGATGGCTCGGACTCCATCCTGTATGGTCCTTGGGTACTGGGAGCAGTACTCAGAGTGATTATAAAACAGAGACTAATTGCATTCAGGGACCTTTCTTTTCCATGTTGTTATTTTGCGGTAGAAGCAGGCAGTACTCCTTTTTCTCTTGAATCATGGTGTCAATTTTTTGGCATCCCGTAATTCATTTATCCTAGAAGCTTCATTTATCCTAATGGGCTCTTCCTTAGAACCTGCCTGTTATGTCAAGTTATGCTATTAGCCTGAAGGGGGAAGAGAATTGTCCTGGCAAGAGGCTTGTGAAACTAATAGTACATGATCACAGCTTCAAAAATGACTAATTGTCATAAAATGCTTACTTTTGCCTCAGAATTTGGTTTGTTTCTGTAGTTGTTGCTGACTGGGAACCAAATACCAACCTTTAAATACCAGTCTGGCTGTAGGAAAGAGGATTAATTAGTCAATATTTGTTGTGTACTTTCTGGATCAAAGGTAGTACAAGTGTGTTATGTTGAAAATATTTAACTCAAAGCAGTCTTGTTTAAATACCATAATGTAGCTTGACATTTAAATGAAATGCAAGTTACAAGCATGAAATGTTTTTGGTTTATGGAATCATCATTCTTTTCCAGGTTATACCAAAAGATTATAAGACAATGGCTGCTTTAGCCAAGGCCATTGAAAAGAATGTGCTGTTTTCACATCTTGATGATAATGAGAGAAGGTAGGTACAGGTTCTTTGTTACACTGTTTTCCAGTACGGCTGTCATCCCAAACTAGTCTCATCAGTGTTGCAGGTTTTAAGGCTTATTGTTCACCTGATGGCAATATGGGCTGAATATCTGGGAACTTTACTTTCAAGGTTAATGTTTGAAATCCATAGAAGAGGTGCATGAAATGTAACACGAGGCCTTTTATCCCTTGCAGTGATATTTTTGATGCCATGTTTCCAGTTTCCTTCATTGCTGGAGAAACTGTTATTCAACAAGGTAAGAGCTGCTGCTTTCATGACCTGCAGTATTATTCTAGGAGAGGTGACAAGACTGGGATTTTTCAGAATTGAAGTTTGTTTTTCTTTTTCAGCCTACCCTTTTCCTTCTGTTATACTACTGGATTTTCCTACTTGTTTTTTAAGTTAAAATTGAGCTAAAATGCACAGTTTCCCTAAGAGACTAGTATTTCCCTAGCATCTGTTAAAATTTTGTTGATAATAACTGTTAAAGGAAATTCCGGAATTTCATATTGAATGTTATATGGCATTTCAGGATCATATATATGTCATATACCCTTTATATTGATTGTTAACCATTCATAAAATAAAGTAGGAAATAAGCAAAACACTTCTGCATTCTTCATCATGTAGCTCATCTATTTGTGGGGTTTTATGCCTTCTAGTGATTCTTACCTTTTTGCCCACATATACTAACATGGATCTAATCTTTTGGGTATTTCCTGCCTTTTTTCCTTTCTTATTTATCTTATATTTTCATGGGTCTTGACAATCCATATATTTATTTTCCTATTTGTGACAATGTGAGATTTTGTTACTTTCTTGTTTTGTTGTTATAAATGATAGGCAGTTCATATTTTTGTACACATATGTGGCTCTTTTTAGTTATTTTTCAGAGATATTCTTCATGAGATGACTGAAAACTTGATCAATTTTATGACTTTTGAAATATATTGCGGGACTTTTTCCCCCTGAAAGACTATGTAAATTTATAAATATACTCTTCTCTCGTAGCACCAGTATAAAATAGTATTATTTTACATTGACTTGATAGTTTCTATTTGTATTTCTTTAATTTGTAAAATGCTTTTAACTTTTTTACTCTCCTTTAGGTGATGAAGGTGATAACTTCTATGTGATTGATCAAGGAGAGATGGATGTAAGTTTTCATAGGAGCAAAAATATGCTGATAATTTTAAGTCCGTGTACTGATAGTTACTGCTTCTAAGAGGTTCTGAAGGGCTGTTACAGCCTGTGCATGTCAAATTTCATCAATACCTTTTGCCAAACATTTTAATGACAAACGTTTTAAAGGTAATTTCTTTGGCTGGACATGCAGTTCAGAACCCTTGCATGCATGCTGTGGAGTAAGGTGGATGTAAGGGAAAGCCTGTGTCCAGTCGTCGGCTATGAGACTTGGTACAAGTTTTTTGATTCTGTAAGTTTGGTTAGCAGATGACATGGGGATAGTAATAGCATTGCTCTTCAGATTATTAGAATATTCAGTGCCTTATGCAAGTAAAGTGCTTATTAGCACAATGCTCAGCACGATACTCTTAAATGTATATGGTTATTATAAATGCTGAGATCTCCCTTTTGCCCTCATCATCCCCAAAGAGTACCTTTTTCTTATCAGATAATTTAACCAGGTAAATCACAGACACTCTAAACTTATTTAACTCATTGTCAGAAGTCAACTATTTTGCTCTGCCATACTGAAAACATAATATATTATATTTTAAAACAAAGTTCAGGGTTCTGACTCCTGCAAAAGGTTTGCAGGTTTTTAATAGTTAGGAGTTTGTATATGTAGAGAAAACGGTCCTTTGTCATTTGCACTTTAGGTCTATGTCAACAATGAATGGGCAACCAGTGTTGGGGAAGGAGGGAGCTTTGGAGAACTTGCTCTGATTTATGGAACACCAAGAGCGGCCACTGTCAAAGCTAAGACAAATGTGAAATTGTGGGGCATTGACCGTGACAGCTACAGAAGAATCCTTATGGTAAGACACCATGGTTTTGGGGGTGTGATTTAGAATTCCCATCTATGATTATAACTAATGTTTAAATTGAATAATTGAATAGTAACACCAAATTAAAATGAGAGTGAATTCTTTGCATTGAGCCCAATTTAGCAGCATTTATTATACTGTTTGAAACAGTGATCTTTTAGAACAAAAGTTGGGCCAGAAATAACATGGGAAACAAATGTGTGTACGAAATGGTCAGCTCATGTTTGGAACACTCCATTTGCCGATAGATGCATCTTCACTTAGTGAATCTTTACACATCACAGATAGTCTGATAGGTGCTGCTGCTAAGTGCATAAAGTTATTTAAGGCCACTCAGAAGCTACCAGCTTCCCTAACCGGAAAGTGGGTTATCAGTAATGCAAATGTCATGTCCCCTCTCTAAAGAAATAAAATAATAAAACCACTGGGACTTTCTGCTGATGTAGTCAGACTTTTTGAGAACTTGGTGACAAATTTATAAGTAGCTTTGTAGGCTTAAACCCCAGCTAATGGCATTTGTCATCTTAAATGGTTTTCTAAATTTGTGCACTACTTGTCTGGCTATTTGACAATATGCAGTTAGATGTGCTTTGAAAATTTTCTGTATTTGGGGTATGGGTGGAAATACATACATATTTTAAGTATATAAGTTGCCAGGGCAATTTACTGTGTAAAGAATGTTTATTGTAGGGGACTGTGTTTCCCCTTTCCCCCCCCAGATATATTTAACAAACTTTGCAGATAAGACAACTTGGTTAAGTTTGGGGATGTGGCACTTCTTTGGGGGTGGGAGGATGGGCTATAAGTGGTAGCAGTTTTATTTCCTTACTTCTGTGGAGGATTGGGGTTGTGGGAAAGAGCCTTGGCTGGAAATATATTTAGCTCTAGTGATATACAAGTATATTATTTGCTTGTTTTTTTGGAGAACTTATCATTTACTTTTTTTGGCATTTCACTAATTGGTGGTACTCGGAACTGTCTTGGGCTATATATCTGGTGTTTCTTTTAGGAGCAAGTTATTACGAGCTTTCTATTGAGCTAAACAGAGGGGCTTACCCTCTTCAACATGAAGAAAAATCGTGTATTAAGAAACAGCAGCACGAAGCTGTGACTTCTCTTTTTTTAATTTGCTTGAAACTTTATTCCACAGCATTATATGATAATTACACATTTTGACATGATGTTTGTTACTTTTTTCATTTATAGGGAAGCACTCTGAGGAAGCGGAAGATGTATGAGGAGTTTCTTAGTAAAGTTTCTATTTTAGGTGAGTTTTGGAAGATCGCATGGAGAATTATTAAATTGAAGTGTTAGTGAAACTTAAGCAGAACCTGTTGTATTTCATAAAAACTACTCTAGTTATCAATTATGTTTTTCTAATAGGTAATCCAAAATTGCTTGAAATCCAATTTGAAGTTGGAATAAGGAAGTCCATAAATACCTGGGTTTGCGGGGCTAAAGTGTTTCCGGAACCAATTACTTCTTTTGTAAGACATTCGCCCTTTTACAACACCAAAAGTTATTGAAAATGTTGGTTCTCTTTGCGAAACCTTGCAAAACCAGTTATTTCCAATTCCAAGTTTTTACTGTAATTTTAAAGTGTGTTTAATTTGCTCGTGTGTCACAAACCTCTTAATTAGAAATGATTGGACCAGGGAAAAGCCTTCCGGAATTATGTGCTACGCATTTCCCCTGGAGAGACAAAAAGGCTGAAAGTGTTCCCCTCTGACTGGACTTCCACAGTTATTCCTCCTGGGGCTTCTGTCTCTGTTGCTCCGTCAGAGTTCCTGGGCTAAGGAAAGTGTTTCCAAGAATGTATTTCCTCTGTAGAAAGACTAGGTGTCGTTTACTGGCTTTCTCTGAAAAAAAATGCTAGAAGTTTTGTTTGAGATTTTGGAGATATGTATTTTTACAACCTGTTTGTCACTGAGATGGGAGTTGGTGATTTTTATTACATAAAGTAAAATGTCTTCTGCCATTGTTTTGTAACGGTGAATTGATCCCCCCCCCCTTTTTTGATCCCTTCTCTGAAATGGTTACATTTTCTTTTCTTTTAATTATTTTTATTATGAAATACACATTTTTTGGAATTAGTTTCAGCTGTACAACACAGTGCAATAGTTATACTGTTTACCCTTCGATGGTTACATTTTCTTAGTGTCTTGGGTATTAGTTTGGCCTTTGGGAACTAAAGTTGTTTTCTAGTTCTTGGTTTCATAAATGAATTCAACTGAGGATTTAAATAGATTATTTTTGTGAACCGCTGGAATAATATGGATGATGACACTATTACTTTTGGATCCTGTAATTATAGGTTTGATTTGCATTGATGGCAGTTTTTAGGAATACTTAATGATAACATTTTTTTCTTTAACCACTGGGTGCATTTGGTATAAATGAACGTGGCCACTGGGGATGCTGAAGTAAGGATCTGAGGGTTATCTGTAAGTAATGGGACCTTGCTGAGATGAGAGGGAATTGAAGATAGGACCATGTTTAGTCTGAGACACTGCTAGAGTATTGGATGGGCATGGCTATTCAGTTGATTGTCTTTATACTTTCTGTTTGGAAATTTTTAGCAGTACCAAGTAATGTAGAGGAATTCTTTTGATTCTTGCTTTTCAGAATCTCTGGACAAGTGGGAACGTCTGACAGTAGCCGATGCCTTGGAACCGGTCCAGTTTGAAGACGGGCAGAAGATTGTGGTGCAGGGAGAGCCAGGGGACGAGTTCTTCATTATTCTAGAGGTAAAGACCTCTGCATTTGGTACTTTCAGAAGCTGTATGCTCTGAGAGAAAGGAGGGGTTAACTCTGATTCACACCTTTAGATTCAAAGAATATCTGACAGTTTTATTTAAAAATTGCCTTTCACTTTGAAATGCTGTTGTTTGGTTTCCGTCAGACCACCACATTTTAACTGTGTTGGAGTCAGAATTCTGGAAGGGTTAGTTATTCATGAAGTAATAGCCAGATTCTGACCCACTCAGATTAATCCTCATGCCAGCTAAACAAACCATTTAACATGACAAACTAGGATGATTCTGCACCACATTTCTTAAAATCATGTGTGTGGGCCATTTGGCACCCAAGGATCAAAGGCAAATATTTAAATTCTATAAGTTACTAGGTTTCATAGTTTCACAATCCATGGAAATGTATAGCAGATGCTCTTGACTGCCAAGTAGATCCAAAACCATTTTCTATGAATGTGGCTCACTAGATGGTAATGTGTTTTATTTAACCCGAGGTCGAGGGACTGTGTAAGGGGCCAGGTGGGAAGTATGGTAGGTTTTGTGAGCCCGAGGCTTCTGTCGTGAAGACTCACCTCTGTTGTCGCAGTGCAAAAGCAGCTGTAGGCACTGTGTTCATGAATGGGTGCGTTGTTCCTATACAATTTATGTATAAAAGCAGGTGTTGGTATGAGCTTGGATCTGTGCTCCCTGCCGCAGTTCACTAACCTGAGTCTGAACCTTCAAGTACTTTAGCCTTAGGAGACGCAGGGCCTGCTGGGTAAATGGGAATCAACGCTCATGCAGTGACCCTTCAGTCAGCTTTTAGGTGAACACAGAATTTGAAGTAACCACAGAATCCCTTTTTGTTTTTGGCGAAGCGCTTAAAATTGCATGGGATGTTTTATGTTTAAAATGACACCCTGGATTTGAAAGTGTTTGTTTTGCTTTTTGGTGATTTTATTGTAGGGGTCAGCTGCTGTGCTGCAACGTAGGTCAGAAAATGAAGAGTTTGTTGAAGTGGGAAGATTGGGGCCTTCTGATTATTTTGGTATGTAGATTTCCTCACAGTTCATATGTAGTTTAAGTCACCTTTCAGTGTGATAACCGTCTTGCATAATTTGTCTTTTTATTCTCTTGAATGTAATTTTTTAGTTGCAGTCTTCTTTGCCTCTCAGAGAAGTAGTGTGAGATTTTGACCTTTACTCGGTTAATAATTAAGTTATTGATTGTCCCATACCTATCAGTTTTTTTTAAGCGCAGACGTGGTGTGGCCTGTACTGTTATTAGGAGAAATACGTATTTGTTTCCCCTTTTGCTCAGAAGTGCGCCTCTGAGCAAATGTTCCCCGTGGAAGCTAGCTGCCTCTTACCCTTCTCGTTCTCCTCCTCCAGGTGAAATAGCACTGCTGATGAACCGTCCTCGTGCCGCCACGGTGGTGGCTCGTGGCCCTTTGAAGTGCGTTAAGCTGGACCGACCTCGATTTGAACGTGTCCTTGGCCCATGCTCAGATATCCTCAAACGAAACATCCAGCAGTACAACAGTTTCGTGTCACTGTCTGTCTGAGATCTGCCTCCTGTGCCTCCCTTTCCTCCTCCCCCAGTCCACGCTTCACTCTCGCAGACGCTTTATTTCCCCTATTTGCAGCGCCACGTTGGCCACTGGCATCGCAGCTTCTTGTCTGTTTATATTAAAAGTTGCTTTTGTTGCACCGTTTTTAATTTGGAGCATTAACTGAATGCTCATGTGAAATAAATAGAAGGAGTTCTACGGAGACTTTGCTGTGATGCTTCTCTTTGTGCAGTGTTAGCATTCAGCCTGGGCAGGACTGCCATGCTTTCTGGTGAGGGCAGATCCCTGCACTAGATGAACTACCAGAGTAACAAGGTAACAGTGCAAGGTTTTTTTTTTTTAAGTGACGTAATTTTCTAGTTATCATAAGCATATTTTAGACCGTGGCCATATATGCTGTATTTCTTTATACAATAAATGATTTCTCAGTAAGCTCTAAGAATTAGGAAAAATGGATATAAAAGAATCTTAGAAAGATATCTGCCTGTATTTAGATTAAGGGTGGGAAAATGCCCATTTTTGCTAATTATCAGATAGATATGATCTGTTCCTTTTTTTTTTAACCAGAATTTTTGTTTGTCAGGCTGATTTGCCTGGTACTGTTGTTTCTTCTCCAGTTCTGAAATACATTCAGGTGTGGCTATCTACACCTGCCTTTTGAGTTTGAAGCTAAATCATAAGCTGCATATATTGCGTTATGATTTACCTACATCTGCCTCAGCTCACAACTCCTGATTAGACCTTTATCCAGCTGCAGCTCGTGCCAAATGATCATCAGATGCTGGATTGAGAGTAAGCATTTGAGGTCTGCACTCTCGGTTCCTGACTTAGACCTTTGGGTTGGTGTACATCTTTCTGTTGACTCCAGGATAATCTTCTGTGCTCGTTAAACACTGATTCCAGAAGATTGGATTTGCTGAGAATAGATAGACTAGAGATGGAACACATGTCATAACGTGTGGAGCGGATGTTACAAAAGGAAGTGCCAGGTGGACAGGGTTCAGTGTTGGGAACGTGGCCCCACTCAGTTCACGGGGGCAAGACGTTTGGGGAGATGTTTTTTACTTTGGTTTGACCTTTTCCCCTCCTTTTTACATCAGCTAGAATTCATGGTGGGTTGGGGTGGGGTCGGATGTGTCTGTGTTGTTTCAAATTGGTCTAAAAGGCCATCCTGCTGAAAAGTTCTGCTTTCCTGTGTAGCTTTATTTCTCTGGCAAACTTTTTTGTTTTTGTTTTTTAAAGAAAACTTGTGTTTTGAGTCTTAACTGTATTTTAGTATTTTCCAGCCTTATCAACTTTATGTTACATTATTCCATGTGCACCAATGGTACCTAACAGTTCATTTTTATTGTTATTTTTTAAAAGAAAATCTCACAGTTCCATAACGTAGGCACTTTTGTTTTCATTGTGATTTATATATAATGTAGGGTTATGTTTGGGAGTGATTGCAAGCATTTTTCCATCTGTATGCAACTGACTGATTATTAATCCCCTCTCCTACCCTTTCCCAGGTAATTTAAATTGATCATGGTAGATTTTTTTCACAGATTTGAACGGTTTTTAGGTTGTTGCTAAGTTTGGAGTATAAATCTGGGAAAAAAGTTTTATTTACATTTTAGTGTGGGATGGAAAGCCACCCTATTACAAATTTTTTATTTTCCCAAATAATCTATATTAAATGAGGGTTTTCTGATCTATACTTTGTGTTTAGCTACCTTTTTATATTTAAAAAATAAAAAATAAAAATTATGTTCTTATTAGCGTAAAGCTTGATTTGATCTTTGTTTAAATGCCAAAACTGTACTTCAGTGAATTATCTAGAATGCCATAAATTTGCACAGTTTCATATATGTATAGTATAACCATGTTCATGTATACTTAGATACATATAATGCTTTCGAAATGAGTTTTGCTTTTAAATCATTTGGCTTGCTGTTGACTCCCCTTTGTAGTTTTTAATCTAAGAAATTTTAAGTCTAAATTTAAAAATGATCACATTTAAAGCTTTATCTTCGTGCAATCTGAGTATATGTGAGAAATCATGATTGGCATACTTTGTCTTAGTGAATATTCAGGGCTTTAGAAGTTGTGATTTCTGGGTGTGGTAAGTGATTCTCTGCAGTCTACTGCTCTAGAAAGCATAGATGGCCGAAGGACCATTTTGTTTGTATCGTGTCCTGGTTACCAGTCTGATTATACCGTGTGTGCTAATATACTCTATTCTTTTTGTTATAGATTGTCTTAATAGTAGGTCAAGTAATAAAAAAAGATTAAATAATTTAAATTCTTAAATGAATCAGTTTTTCTTCCCTTTCTCCTTTTCTTCTCACCCTCCCCCAGCATCTCCTAATCTGGTGGGCAAGAATGAAAATCAAGCGAATTATGGGATTGGTGTTTTGAAGAGTCACATGTTTGTTTTAATGGTTTCCAAGTCAGGTTGTCAAAGAATGAATCTTACTTAAAAGGGTAATTGCGATACAGCGGATCTGTTTACCGAGTTATAGAAGGAAAAGATTAAATCAGAGGCTGAAGATTTCCTTTTTATCGAAGACAGCCTGGTTCTCTGGCCTTGAAACGCTCCCAGACTTAATGGGGAAACATTATTTCCGAATCAGCAAACTTTTTGGTTCAAATTTAATATATTTGCTTAGGTGTGCTTATATATTTTGCATGTATAAAATGTTATTTCTGATGTCTATTCCTCAGGTTTCAGAGAAGTGAGATGATTCATAGTACTCATTACTATATCAGTATTAATTTCTTGACATCCAGTGAACTTGGAGCTGCGTTGTGTTCTGGAACATCCTTTAATTTGTACTGCTTTGTAACACATGCACCATGTTATGATTTAGTAATGCCTTCCCTCAACTCACTGGAGTGGGAACCGTTAGAGTTACAACAGAATAGAACTAACGGAAAATTTCCTAGGTTGATTGTACTGGTTACAGTTTCATCCTCATTCTTAAAACATTGGCTCATATAGAACTGTTTTTTAATGACTTACTAGTAAATATTGACAGTTCAAAATTGAAGTAGCATGACATCAGTTTTCTTAATACTGTGTTATCTGCACCCACAAATTAATAGCTGAACCCTTTTTGATTTTTGTGAGGCTTTGGCAGTGTATGTCTAGATGGGTTAAACAACCTTGCGAAGCATTTTATACGTTCCCCCAAGGCAGCTATCACAATAGCTATTTAGCTATTAAAGGCTGTAGATAAAATAGCCTTTAAAGGCTGTAGATAGGAGAGTTGAAAAGGGGGAATCTTGAATCTCTCTTTTTACCGTAGGTGACTTTCACATAGAAATCAGTATTTGTATACGTACAAAGTTAGAACTTGTCTTTTGACCTAAGTTCAGAGCTATGACCTCATTCCTGACTCAACTATTGTGAGTCAACCAAAACCACTAACGAGCATAGTATTTTCATTTTGTGCAAGTTCTGCCAATTTAGCCTAAGTAGCTTTGTGATATGAAAAGTCACCACTAGATGGAGAGCTTTTTTATCTATCATCTTTGTGGATCTGAAAATGAGTTACAGTTGAGTCTCATTGTTCATGGATACTGTATTTGCAAATTTGCCTGCTTGCTAAAATGTATTTGTAACCCCTAAATCAGCACTCAACAGCCGTTGCACAGTCATTCCCAGACATGAGAGGAATGGTGGTGGATTTGAGTCTCTAGACATGTTAGTGTACCAGCTCAGGTCAGACAAGGCGGTGCTCTGCCTTTTGTTTCAGCTCGCATACTGTAATTAGATGTCCTTTTCATGGTCTATTTAGGTCCAAGATTTTACATTTTCATGCGTTCTGTTGGTGATGTCACTGTTTAAAACGGCCCCCAAGCGTAGTGCTGACATGCTGGCCAGTGTTCCTAAGGGCAAGAAGGCTGCGATGTGCCTTATGGAGAAAAGATGTGTATTAAACAAGCTTCTTTCAGGCAAGTTACAGTGCTGTCGGCCACGGGTTCAATGTCAGTGAATCAACAGTATATATTAAATGAGGTGTCTTTAACACACCTTAATACACATAAAACGAGATTATATATTGGTTGGTTGACAAAATGTAAGCAGCGGCTCCCAGGCACCTAAACCCTGTGTTTCCTGTAGGAGCTAATGGTTCAGTCTCCATTCATTTAGTGCCTGTGGTGACTTGATAGACCATAAAACTACCATGAATAAGAGAAGCAACTTTTTTATAGTCTCCAAACTCCTGACTTTCGGGAAGTCTCTAATGAATTCCTTCGAGCCCCTTTCTCCACCAAGTCACGTGCTGTAGAGTTCCTTTCCACTTTTTAGTCAGTAGTAACGTGAACAATTTTTACATAGAGACTGGAAAATATGTCATGGGAAGTTGAACAGTGGTTCAAAATGAACACTTTAGAAGAACTTGATAGTTCTTAGAGCCTTGTTTTCTGCCGTTTTCGACAAATAATAGTCTTAACTGGGTTACTAGTGAAAAAATAATGGAATGCTTAAGTGAATAATTAGGTACCTGGGTACTCTACGTATTGTGGTCAAACTCAGTTCTGTTTCTCTCATTGAGTCAAGTACACCAGAACTTGCATCATAGGCCATTTGAAAGCCGGTCCATTGCTATTGAAAAGGCTCGGTCTGAGATGGAATGTAGCTTACCTTTCACACGCTCTGTGATTTGGAAGTCCCAGACCACTGTGCTAGTCTTGGAATGTCTTTGGCTGACTATTTTTCTCTCTTCTGTGTGGAATTACCCGGTCCCTCCCACAGAGGGACATACTGGCTGGAAGTAAGAGAAGCAGTTCACGAAGGGGACGCCTGGGCTGCAGTAGTCACCCCAGTACCAGAAATCCCTGTGATTAAGGTTCCTCTATTAAAGGGTTGGGTTTTTTTTTTCTTTTCTTTTTTTTTTTTAAGCAAACAAAGATCACTTCAAATATACTGTTGGGTGTCTGTATTACAGTGGAAAGAACACTTTGGAATAGGGTTAAGTCATTAAGTTGTATGGTTTTCATTAATCTCTCTGAGCATTATTTCTCTTCTGTGTGCATCGGAGTAGGGGACTCTGTCTGTTCGGGAGGGGTGGCACCTGTGTGTCGATTCGCACGTGGGGGGTGAGAGCTCAGTGAAAGGCAGTGTGTTGCTATCATGGAGACATAAGGTTCACAGGCAGTGTACCAGTGATGGGGGTACCAGGGCGGGTCAGAACTCCCCTTGCTTGTCCTGTCGGGGCTGCCCTCAGACACACTGCAGAAGTCTTGGGTGACAGATGTAGCTCTTGACCTTGTACCCTCTTTACTGTCAGCTTCTTTCTACCCCCTTCACACTTCGAGCCTCTGGCCTTGATCAGAAAAGTTGATCTGATAAAATTAGGAATGTTTACTTGTTGACTGATCACTCTATAGGATGAATATTTTCCTGTCATTTGTGTTTCCAGTCATGAGTTGTGGAATAAGAAACAAAGCCTCCTATTGAGGAGTTTCCAGTGTCGGCAAGTCAGTAAGTAGGGAGAAGGTTGGGGAGACGGGGAGTCCCTGACACATCCACTTGTGAGGGAGGCTTGGAAAGTAAACTTGCTGTGGTTCTTTGGGAGCACGCAGCTGAGGGGAAGGGCATCTAGAGTGCCAGACCTCCAGGTGGCGCCTGCTCCTCTTGGGGCAGGTTAGGGGGTGGCTCCTGGACCTCCCAGGAAAGGACTGTGGTTGGCGAGCTGTGCTAGGCCTCAGTCAGGCCCGTTCCAGCGAGACCCGTTCCTGGCCCGTCGCGCCTTCAAGCCCACCCTTGTTTCCCTTCATTAAAATCCCTCCTGTTTCTGGATGCTAATTCTGACATACTTCACGTTATTTCAGTTGATATTTAAATACTTTTCAGATTGGAATCTCTCTTGTCTGGATATTCTGAGCACACCCCTATGTTACTTTTACCCCTGTAATAACATTTCTTAGAAAGGAAATTCAGGGGACTGATCAGTTACTAGTGACTATTGTCCTCAGATTGGGCCGCAGTGCCTGGAATATGAGTAGAAGGTGTGAAGGCTACTTCGCCCAACTTTGAGAATCACCAGTTTTAGACTTTCTCGGCTGTTTGTGATATACCCGATGTTTTATCTGGATTGGAAATTACCCTTGTAGATATAATAAGGACCTGTAGGTCAGCTAGGTGTCCACTGGATGTCCTTTTATTTTATTTGTAACAGTTAATACTCTCAGGAGCAAGGCTTGCAAACCTTTCAAGCCTGACCTGTATCCAGATTTCCCAGTGGGCAGGAGATGGTCTGAGGCCTTGGTGAAGCAGTGCTTTCCGGGCAAGAGGGAGCCGTGGCAGCTCGCTGGAGAAGCAGTGCTCCCGGGAAGACAGTTCGCGGATCCCATGTCTGGCTCTTTCAGCGTTACCCCAAGGCCCTGCTTGCTTGCTGAGCTCACGACCCAGGACCTCCAGCACTGATGGGCACCAGGCAGCAGGGGTCCGCACTCAAGTGCCCACCGCTGGCTCCAGGCGTAGTGTGTGAAGCTGGCCTCGTCCAGCCCCTAGCTTGTCAGGCTAGCCTGGCCGGAGTCTGGGGCCGACTGTCCTGCTGGGCCATTGGCTATGACGCTCTGCTCCCCGTGGGCCTCTAGGCACCCCTCCACTGTCCTGAGGATGATATGGAGTCTCCGATCCAGGGCAAGGAGGTGGGGCTCCGTGAGGATGGGGGTGAGCTGGTCCTCGAGCAGTGACTCCCGCATCATGTCACTGAGCCTGTAGTCAGCTTGGGCCAGCAGCTGCAGGTGCAGAAGTGTTTTCTTTTTGATCCTGGAAAGACCAAGTTGTAGGAACCAAATAAGTAAATGTAAAGAAAATGTCTGAACGTCTTTCCCCACAAGAAGCTGTTGGAGCTGATGTTCCGAGAGCCTCCCCCCAACGCCCCCCCCCATGTCTTCCCAAGCATGTTGGAATGAAAAACAGGTAAAAAGGGAATGGAGAAAAGATGACCCAATATTTTGCAATCCTTTCCCAGTTGCCTTTAGGTCAAAGGCCCCCTGAGCCATTGATAGTTAATATTATAATGTCACACTGATGCCAGACCATATGCATCTGACATTGCTGAGGGAATCAAAACCGAAGTGATAATGACTTTTCAAGGAGAGTTAAAGCTATGAGAGAAGTTTCTAGTAGGTGAAATGAGGAAGTTGGCCATCCGAAAAGCCCTAGGTACTGCCAGCCTCCAAGTTCCTCCCAGCTTTATAACACTGTCAGATTCTCAAACCAGAGGGATGAGATTGGGGTGGGACCCATCTTGACTTAAGGTTTTGATTTCTTTTTGTGCAGAAATCGGACTTGGACGCAAATGTGTAAGCAGCCTCATTTTCCGACATTTTGTCAACTGCCTATCCTCAGGAGGGGGGGAAGGGAGGCAACCAGGGAAGCTCGTTTAAATGAACCCAAGAGGTGGCTAAAGAAAATTCAGGCTCTGTTCTGAGTGTCCCAGCTGAAAACGAATGGTTTTCATTCGCTAGGTGTGACCTACATACTCCTAATCAGCTCTGGATACTGGAGCTGGGCAGCTGGACAGTTGCACAAGCATGGCCGAGACCAGGAAGATGCGGAGGTAGGTTTGAAATTCTAGAGACATGGTGGCCAGGCAGAGGTCTCAGTACTTCTTTTCAATCTGACATGGGTTTATGGGACTTGAATGAGGATTTTACTCACTCGGAGAGGGTGATCACGTAGTAATATTTATGAGCTTATATGAGTACAGGGCGAAGCAGAGGTCTGATGAGTCACATCAAAGACAGGCTCTGCCAAAGCGGGTGATTACTCTCCGAGTGGGCTAAAGATTAAAGTTAGTGATTGAAAGGTTTAAAAAAAAAAAGTAGATCCTAATTCATCCCATGCTGAAAGATGAAAGAATCTGAGAAGTCGTTTGGGGAAAATTCTGTCGTTGGTAATTTCCTTCAGTCTACCCACCCGCGTCTTAGACCAATGAAAATTGGTTAAGTCCGCCTGAGCTTGGTTGCAAGCAGGATGAAGTGTCACCGTCATGACCTTGAACTGAAAACTTACCTGCAGCACTGGAAGAGTGGCGAAAGGATGGACATTTCATCGTGGGAGTGCCGTCCGAACCTAGGAGGAGAAGCATGCTTTCACGGGTGGCAAGCTGCAATGCCTCCTCTGGTTTTTCTCTCCTGTACCTCAACCCTTTTTTGAAAGACAGCTAGGGGTAAAATACTAGGAATCATGGCAGCTGCCTCTCCAGCCCCTCAGGTCACAAAAGCCTCTCCGTCCAAAGATGTGAAAACCAAGCAATCATGCATCCATTCATTTCAACTGCAAGGGGCCAGACAGGATGAGCCATGTGTGCTCCGACCCCAGGAGTGAACCCGCCAGTGAAAAAAAAGGAAAACGCCAGTGTGTTTTCCTAGTGCTCTTAGGGTAGAGGAGAGTCAAGGGGTGCTGAGCAAAGATCGAGAGAGAAAAACGACACAGTAGGACGTGACAGCCCCACGTTCTCGGGCTCGACTTTCCCCTGAGAAGCTGCACAAGGGGGTACGGCAGGTCTCGGGCTGTGCCGGCGCGCTTACCCTCTGGCATTGTCCAGGTGAATCAGGAACCCATCATCCCCAAATTTGGTGAACATCTCATAATGGTGACGGTCCATATTTCCTGTAAAGGAGGGGAGACCTTGGATCTGGGGCCCAAGGCCACGGGGCGGGTGCTGCTGACCTTGGTCTTCTCTCCAGGGCATGGAGGCCTGTTAGCAGTTCAGACGCGCGTCTGAACCCCGGGCCACAAGCTGTCATTTCCCCAGGGAAGTTGGCTGGGGAGAAGGACGCTAAAACGGCAAACAGTCTCTACTATGGACTGTGTTGAAATCTAAGGCCTTCACCACCCGAGCTCAGCTGAGGTCCGTTGTGGAGAGCAGACACAGCCTGACTTCCCAGAGGGCGTGAGAGCAAGCTGGCTGGGTGCTGTAGGACTTTAGATCTGAGCATGTGTGTGCGGGCCTCCTTTAGAGCTATCGCCCTAGTCTGGGTCCCCGAGGGACCTGAAGGTGGATGACCAGCCACTGCTACCCATTTGTGTGCCCTCTTCCCCTCCGCCCTGCTTTCCACTTACTCGATCAAGGGAACCAACAACATCCAACCCGAGGCCCGCTCGGGCCTGGCAGCAGGGTCGCATGCCTGCCTGCCTGCCGAGTGATGCCCTCCGGGGGGTGGGGAACATGTTAACTTCTGTCCCCTGGGACCTCCGCCACCTTGTGGCTGTGGGCAGTGCGGGGTTATTCAGTCCTCACGGTCCTGCCTATAGCTGATGCCCGAGGTCACGGGGATCCCAGCCCAGCAGCAGAGCCCCTCAGCCAGGAGCCCTGAGCTCGGGGACCTACCGATGAGGAAGTCGAAGATGGCCATGTCGATGATGTTGAGCAGCCGGTTGCTGCTGTTATACGGGTAGACCTGCTTCACTGTGTCGCAGTACAGTGGATTGACCTCCCACCTGAGGGGGGGAAGACGTCCTGGGGCCGGAAAAGCCAACATGGCAAGGTGTTGGGGGCCCTCCTCACACCTCCCCCCACCCCCCACCCCCCCGAATCCTGCCCTGGGCTGGTGGCAGCTCCTTGGCATGCAGGAGGATACAGGGTGAGAGGGTTCTAGGTCCTTCTACACCTTTCCTGAGCATCTGCTCTGCTGGGCACTGTACTAATGGCTGGGATACCACCTGCCCGAGGGGAGGTGACTGGGCAGCAGGAGAAAGGCTGGGTAGAGTCCCTCACCTGCTTCTCTGCAGCTCCTCTCATGGAGCCTCTTGGGCCCTGCAGCTCTGACCCATTCATAGTCCTCTACAAGTGATTCTGTCATTTCTGTCTCACACAATGGCATTCTGTCATTTCTCTCTCTGCCTGGAATGCCCCCGTGTCCCCTTTTATCTGGTGGGCTCAACCTTCACAACTCCCTTAGGATCTGTCACATCCTCCAGAAATTCTGCCCGGGTTTATTTCACTTCCCACCACGAGTGGGGTGGCTGGATTGTGAACCTATTCATTCAGTCAACTAACATGAACTGAGTACCTACTGTGCGCCAGGGAGAGTGCTAAGCCCTGGGGATACAACAGTGAGGCCCTTGGCTTCACCGGCTTACTCAGGGGAACCAGGTGCCCCTCCTGCGGACTCCTCGTGGGCTTCTCTCTGTCAGCACTATGTTTCAAATTCTCTGACCACCCAGCTAGACTGTAGAGCTTCTTGAGGGGGTAGCCTGTGTCTCATTGCTGTATCCCTTAGTACCTAGTGTTGGGTACATAGTAGGCTCTTTATAACTGAATAAATGAACTAAAGGGAGAGAATAAACAGGCCAGCTGGTCCCAGGACCCATATGAGATGAGGCGAAGGAAGACTGAGCCAGATTTGGGGGTCCAAAAGCCAAGCTAGCCACAAGTCCTGGGTATGGGCATGTGGCCACTCGGGCTGGACCGTGGGAACATGGCCATGGCCTTGTGTCCAGGGGGCCAACTCACTCCTCTTTTCCTGCCAGTGAGTAGGAGCGGATCCAGGGGTTGGGCACGGACAGCCTGGGGGCCAGGTTGAGGGATGGCAGGAACGCGGACAGGGAGCCCTCCAGCAGGTGTGGGTTGCCGCAGACCGCGTATTCAGTCTTGCACATGTACGGGCACTTGGCAAAAAAGCACACGTTGCTGGCTGGAGGGTGGGGAAGAGAAAGGAGGGCGGGGTAAGAGAAGGGCGCAGAGGCAGAGCATCTTTCTGCTCCAAGAAATCCACCAGGAAGAAAGGGAAACACTGGACTCACAGCTTGGGCAAAGGCAGAAGAGGAAGAAAACATTGCCTTTTCCAGATGTAGGGGCTCGTGGATGCTACTGAACTGAGCGTCCTGAGTACCAATTTTCAAATGTCTCAGAGCAGAGAGAATGTGGGACCCAGCCTCACCGCATCCTTTCCATACGACGAGTGTCCTTTGAAACAGCAGATGTCCAGGGAGGCTGGCAGTAGACTTAAGCGCCCACCCAGGCCAGTTAGCATCTCATGTATGAGCTTTTCTCATCCCCAGTTCACCTTGTGTGATGCTCAGGTGGGCCAGGTGGGAGTGTCTGACGGCAGCATACACCCATCCCAGGAAAGAATGGTGCTGCTGGCAGGAGGACAGGCCACCACTGAACGTGGGTGGCCACGTTGGCCTACCGTGTTCTTAGACCCAGAATACTGCTTTGGCCTGTACCCTACCTGGAGAGACGAAGAAAACGCTCTGCAGGATTTCATTCTTGGTGACCTCTAGGATCTCCTTGGTGACATTGATTAGCCTCCCCACTGTTGGTGGCACCCGTCGGAAGTCCAGAATCCTGAAAGAGAGGGGGCCCTGTTCAGATCTGAGGGATGGTCAGGGACTTCGACGGTTGCCTATTAGAAATGGCCTGGCGTTTCTGACCATACCCAGCTGCCGGGGTCTCTGCAGTGCTGAGCTGTCAGTGCACAGGGCAGACCCACATCTAAAGGGATGGGAGAAGGAGTGGAACAGGAATCCTTATTCCAGCAAGCGTCCTGGGCCAGCCTTCCAGCATCCAAGCTGTGTTCTAGGTCAGAGCTTCTCATACTTCAATATGCACATGAGTCGCTGGGGATCTTGCTCAAATGCAGGCTCTGATTCAGTGGGTCCAGGGCGAGGCCGAGATTCCGCATTTGCGAAAAGTTCCCAGGTGGTGTCAAGGTTGCCAGTCCGTAGAGCACACCTTGAGTGGCAATGACTGGGCAAGTAGGAAAAGCTAGGAAGTGTAGGAATGTGCTTTCACCTTTTAATATCATAACCTTAAGACTCTTTGCATCACTGGGAGTGGGTGCATTCTCCCCATTTTCTAGATCTGGAAACTAGAACAAAGGGCAGTGTCATGCCCATGATGGCAGTGTGGAGCCACCTGGCAGGGTTATTGTCCTTTCTAGGTTATTCTTTTCATTACCTTCAAAGTCTGTGCGTTTTTCAATCCATGGGGTTGGGTGGGACGTGTTGGGTTCAAAGGCATCACTGAGGTTCATGAAGAAGACATTCCAGGGAGCTCCCACCTGAGGTTCTGCCCAGCGCCCCCCTTCTTGGGATTGGCCCTTGCAGTCAATGCCATGTCCGTGAGACCAGACCCTACCTGTCCAGGTGGAAAGCTGCAATCTCAGCATTGTGTCTCTGAAAGTCAATGAAATAGAAGAAGTCTTCGGGCGTCTCTTCATCTCGCTGCTGTCTGGAAAGAAGGAAGGAATCATGCCCTGGACTCAGACTTCAGCTGGGAGCCTGAGAAGACAGCTCAGAAGCATGACCAGAGGGAAAGGAAAATGTGAAGTTACGCTTTTAATGTATGCATAGTTGATGGAATGACAAATCAATGGCCCGTGGCTCCCTTGGCTAGGAGGAGACTTGCACAGTAAGAGTAGCCAAGCGTCTTGCACTTTCCCTTTTAATAAGGGACAAGTGATGTTTAAGTTCCCAGTAGAAAAAAAATGCATGCTTTTCCAAGGAATTCATTTTAAAACAATACTATGTTTCTCTGTGAATACATTTTATAGAAATACAGAATAAAATTTGTGTACAGCATAAGAATAGCAAAAATGGCTTTTATGACCTAATGCTGGAAACTTTTGCATTATATCAGGAAGGAAACTGGTTAATTTGTACAGTCCTTGTATGTTGTCACTGACAATGCAGGGATGAGGTTTTAGGCTGGCACTTAACGCGCCTTCCTGCAGATAAAATGCAGCAAACTGCGTAGTTTTTCCTCCCGAAAGGGAAAGTGGAGCTCAGCCAGTCTATGTGAGCTTCCAGCTTGTAAAAATTAGAGACGTCCTAAAGTGCCACATAAGAATTTCTCTCAGAGAATGCAATTGATGGGGTCTGCTGATGCGTGGTGAATTTGCAGATATATCGTGATTTTTATGCTTGAACGTCTTGTGCGTCTACATCAGCGTCCTTATGCCTCCTCTCTTTAACTGGTGCTTTCTTATATGTTAAATGTGCATGACGAACCATAACAATAAATTAAAACTGTATAATGGCCTGAGCTCAAATGGTGGCCCTTGTGTTCAGCTGTGTGGCACCCCAGAATGTCACGTGCCCGCTTGTGGAACCTCGGCCATGTGGACTCACTGCTATAGCTCTCTTTTAAAAAGGAACACAGGTTTTTTTTTGGTTTTGGTTTGGTTTGTTGTTTTAGTAATTTCATATGCCTGAAAATAAGATGAGATCACCTCCCAAAATTGTCCCTCAGAAAAGGAATCTGTCTATATGCAAGTCCTTGCATAGCCTCTCAAATGCTGGGGCCCTCTCTCCGTTTCTTTATTTTGTTTGGGACAAAATTCATTAACCTGAAGTTGACTTCACTCTGTGCTGGTTTTATTACCTGACAGAACTGGTTAAAACAGACTGGTGGTGGTGGCGATGGGGAAAGAATTCAACCCGATTCAACATTGATCCGAAACTTGACTCTAGTGACAATGATCACCAATATCAAACTTTTCTGGCAAGTGAAATGTGAGACTGGGGGTGGGGAGCAACATTTCTACATCTATATATTGTTTGATATGACAGGATTTTTTAAAGCAGTAACTTAATCACATTCAGTGGTTTCATGTACATCTCTGAAAAATTACATATTTAAATTTACCAAATAATTAGGTTTTTGGGTTTTCACGTTGGAAAAATGGGGCATTGCCTTATACAGCAGCAGCTTTCAAGGTTGTCAGGACTTGGGGTCACAGGCGGAGTCCCCAGATCCATCCCATTGGACTCTGGCATCAGGTTTTTCAAGGCTCGCTAAGTGATTTCAACAAGCAGCTGGTCTACTGCAAACCCCTCCTTAAAGGGTGCTTGTGCAGGGACTAGAAGTAAGAGTCTTTATTCAGCTCATCCCTGGGCTTTTCCCTCAGACCATCCACTGGGCCATTCCGGAGGCCTCTCAGCTGACTGAAGCTTTGGAACCTAAGTCAATCTAACTGGGTTCCACTGGAACGCAGCGCGTTCTAGGGGAAGGCATGACTGGAGTAATGGGAACCCCTCCTTGGGCCCTTTTCCCTTGTGCGTGTCACCTCCAGGGGGAGCATTCCTACTTCAGGAGCCCCCCCCGCCCCCCACCGTGGGCTGCAGACACTTTGGGGGCCAGCAATCCACACCGCACACCAGGCTCCGTCTGTAGACTGCCCATTATTTCACCCGCATGCCACAAAATTTGAAAGGCAGGTATTTGCTGTCGTTATGAAGTAGAAATTAATTTAAAAGTACAGTTGCCTTCACAGTAATCCTTTTCATTGTCGAGTTTTTTTAACCATAACAAGTAGTAGTATGTAAATTTCTGTAAAGTGTTTGAAGGTCCTAGTCCTGGAAAAAGTGGGAACCAATTATAGAGTGTGAATTTAGCAACCCAGCTGCCTGGGTTCAAATCCTGGTTCCACTGCCTGCACCTGCGGGGTTGGGGCGAGCTGGCTTCTCCAAGCCTCAACTGTTGTCATCTGTAAAAGTGGCCATGTTACTAGCACCTCTCTGATGACCCAAAGACACAATCCTATAAAGTGTGTGGCATAGATTTTAGCAAAGACCTGATATGGACCAGCTCTTACTATATATTTTTAATTATTGTCACCAAAAACAGTTACATGCTTGGGCCGATTGCCCAGAAGAGAGTCTACAAATGACTGGCTTGAACAGTTTAGACCGCTTATACTAACTTTGGGTTCAAACTCCCCCAGGGCTGCCACAGCTGGGCGTGGAGGTCAGGAAGGCGGTCACTTACCTCATGGGTTTGAACATGGCCTTCCCGAAGTCCGAGAACCGCAGAACCAGCTTGAGGTGGACCCCGCTGGGTTTCACAACTGCGAGGGGGGAGAAGGGTGACTTAACCAGGAAGCTCATGGCCGACATCCTCAATAAACCCAGCTGATTTCTTCTCTTGCCTCTTATGTAATCAAGACCCTAAAGACTAGGATTTGCTCTTCAAAGCTCGCAGGGTAAATTCCATCGTGTCAGGCCATGGAGAGTGTAGCTCGGAGCTCAGAACAATACTTTTCCTGCTGTTAGGAGACAAGGGCAAACCAGGTTCTCCCAGGTAGACACTCCCTGAAAACGCCAAAGAATGTTCCCCTAAGAAGAACCGACCTCTTCTTGGTGTGTCATTGGCACCCTTATGGATTCCAATTATGCCATCTGTTATCTTGCATTATTAGACTAGTTTATATCTCTTCCTGTTTAAGACTGTACACCTGGGCTGGGGCAGGGCTGGGGGAACAAGGCAACTAAGATGCACTCGAATGACCCTGACCGTGAGCGCTGCCTCCTGACGTGTTATGTCCTGGGCACCTCACTTGCCACACCCTGTCCCTGCCCTGCTGTGAGCCCTGCGAGGGTTGGGACAATGTCTCACTCACCTGTATGTTCTATAAAATGGCAAATGACAGGTGTTAAAGAAAAGGGAAGTCCGGGCCCTGCAAACCTCTGTTTTTCAAACCTTTAACACGTCACGACACACATAGCAATGTCTGATGTGTAGTCGGTGTACTGAGGTAAATGGATGAGGCTACTCATAGCCGGCGGTGACGGGCCAGGGGCTTTGGTGTCCAGATCTGACTTGGCCACTCGAGGGCTGTGCAGTGTCCAGGCCCAACTGTCCAATTCCTGGCCCCCTGGGAGGGGACCGTGCTGCATCTCACGCCTGTGTTTTTGGTGTTAGTAACCATTGATCCTAGTGGGTCTCCATCTGGGCTGCAGTAGAATCATTTTTAAAATGCTTATGCCCAGGCCTCATCTAATGCACCTGAATCAAAACCTCCTGGGGTGGGGGGGCCCAGGCCTCAGCACTTTTTAAACACCCACCCCCCCGTGACTCTACTATGTTGCTGGGTGGAGAACCACTGTCCTGTACACTTGCTTCTTAAATCTGAAAAATGTCCTCCAGTCCCTTGAGAACTGTGTTAAAATCCAGACTCTGGTTCAGAAAATCAGAGGGGGACTGAGAGTCTGCATTTCTAAGCTCCTCGATGATGCTACGATGCTGGTCCCTGGACCACACGCTGACCAGCAGGGTCCTGCACGTGAGCGCCTTTCCGGGGCTTCCCTGTTGTGTGGGTGGGTGGGGACGCAGGTTGCGTTCTCAGGGGTTGGGCAGAGAATCATGCCCCTTCAACTCCCAAAAAGGCCCCCCATGTCGCGGCCCGTCCCATTGCCGCCAGGTGCTGGGGTTGACAACAGTGTGACAGTAGAGGGCTGGACGGGAGCAGGGCCCGGTCACTTACTCTGAGTACAGTCGCATGCCCCAAGCAAGGCTTTCTCATCCTGGCTGTAATCTGTGAAAGAGGAAACGGGCAATGAGAAGGCTCAGCCATGCTTCTGGGGGCGCCATCGACATGGGGGCCCGTGACTCTGGTTCTGACCCCAGAGGGGGTGACTGTGAGGCAGCCTGGGGGTCTTGCCCATTCAGTAGGGGATGTCCCAGAGCCGGGCTGGCTGTCGTCTCCCACCCTGCTGCCTCTCGGCCCCATCTCTATAACCCTTCCATGGACACTCGAGCAGCACCGGCTTGGGCAACTGATGCTGGTTTTGTCTCTGTTAAGAACGTGCTGTGACACTTAGATGGTCGTAGTGCTTCAAGCACGGGCCCGGAGACAACAGGCCCGTGTTTGAATCCCAGTCCCACCTTGGTCCTTGGCCAGGTGGCTGAACCTAAGTCTCAGTTTTTCCATCAGTAAAATGGCAATGACCATGTCCATGTCCTGAGATCATTGTGTAGGAGAAAGTTGCCAGGTGGAAAAGAAGTACTTGCTCAATAGTAGTGACCGCCTTTCTTTAAGTGGACAGAACAGCTCCTTATGCCTCCCTTACGGGGCCGTGGTAAGATTGTGGTTGTGAGATAAAAGGTGAGTGTCTATGGTTTTTTGTTTTTTTCTTGTTTTTCCCCTTCTCAAGAGTCAGAGTCAACCCTTAAATATTTCACCCCGGAGCCCACGAGAGATGGTTTACCCAGCCTCTCTGGGAGACAGCCAGTCCATCCTGCCCGATCCTGTGAACCTCACCGGCACTGATGGTGGGAAAGTGCCTCATGTCGTGGAGGAGTTTGCTGACAATGGGACTGGACCGGGGGTACAGCCCGTGCCGGTTGATGCCCAGGTGGAACTGGACCCAGCTGGCCTCCAGTCGGAGCTGCAGGGGGACATCCAGGGAAGTGAGGTTCAGCTGCTCTTTGTATATCTTGTGTCGTCTGAAAGAGCCAAAGGGTTTTATTATATTTCTTAATTGGAGGAACAGGAATGCAAAGACCTGCTGAAACACCTTGTTCGGACTCCCCATCATCCATTCTTTCATTCATTCAACAAGGGCATCGAGCACCTACTATGTACCCGGCTTTACGTTGCACTTAGCCCCCTGGCCCTTCCTTATCCTCAGAGAGCTTACAATCGAGTGAGAAAAACAGGCAAACAGTGAACGCAATAGCATACACAATACACACATACCTGATATAAGCCATGACACATCCTGTGAAGGAGAAGGGGCAGATGGTTAAGAGTAAAACCAGGGACCTCATATAATCTGGGATCCCAGGGAGCAATCCTGAGCTTGTGTTCATGGGTATTTTCCCATGAAAAAGTCTGTGGCTTGTGTTTCCCAGTATTTTCTGGCCTAAGGAGTCAGGAGATAGGGGAGAGAAGGTAATTAATCGGTGAGAATGAACAGAATGGAGGGTGAGGATCCGTAAGTAAAGCTGGAAGCTGAGTTAGACGAATCAACCCATCATATAGGAAAAGAAGAAGTCATTAGCCATTCACTGCTTGTTCTGCTCAGGAGTCTTTTCTGCCAGGGTGAAAAGAAAGAAGTGAAAAGCAATGTCACTGTCATTCAGAGGTGTGGAGTCTAGTTTGGGAGACAAGTTGTATGTCGGTGAAAGTATCAGAGCAAAATAGAAGGCAGTTGTAAATCAACTGGTAGCCGTGTGGTTTGGACTAAAACACCTTAACATTTTGGAGAAGGGAAGGATGATTAGATGACGAAGCAGTGAGAGGAAGACCACAATGGCAGAATGGACTGTAGCTGGATTCGAGTGGGTGGTGTTTGGATTGAAGGGGAGGTGTGGAGGACGCGCCCGGATTGGGGACAGTATGAGCATCTGAGAGGCAGGCAAGGAACAGGTATAATGTATCTGAGGCTTAGAGAAGAAGGCTGAACAAATGGACGGCTGAATAAAAAGATGGAGGCCTTTTGATCGGAAAGCAAGAGAAATTAGCACCATGTCATCTGGCTAGGTAAAGCTAATTGTGGGGGGTAGGTGGGACTATGGGGTCAGGATTTGGGTGTTCCTATGCATCCCTATTTCATCCAAACTGTGATACCTCACCTCTGAGGTCTGTGATGGAGTGAAGAACAAAACAAACATGGCCGGTCTTCTTGGACTCTCAAATTTTCTCATTGGGAAAAAATTTTTAAAATTACCTTTATATTAAAGTAAATATAGACACCTTATGGGGAAGAAAGCAAAAACACATGATCACTTTTTAAGGTAAAATCTTAATTTTCAAAGAAAATTTCACGTCGTCACCTCAGACATACCTCCAATAAAAGAGGTCAGACCCTCAGGAGTAAGGATGTTTTTATTCTGCACTGCCCCTAGTGGGAGAGTTTGGGAAGTGCTGGATACCAACTTAGGTCATTGAGTTCCCGCCCATGGTGGAACTGAGCTGTCAACTCACCTCACCCTTGTGTGAATAAGGTAAACTAACATGGCTGTCCTTCTTTGAGGTTTTCTGTCCTGGGTGAATGTCAGTGGTCTTGAGGAAGAGCAGTTTTATAAACTGATGTGAAGGAATGATTGTCTGGCAGCTTTTGGCCTTGGCCTTTTCCTGGGCACCTATTCCTGGGCACCCCTACTTTTGGAGACCTTCACCTCATATCATATCAAACATATTAAAACCCACCCTGCCTTCAATTTTTTTGTGTTCTAATTTTTGAAAGTTTCTTTTCATCATTTTGAATTCTGTTATGAGTAAAGTATCTGTTGGGTTGTCGGAAAAGTCATGACGCGTTTTTGCAATGAAAAACATAGAAAAAAATAGGTCATGACTTTTCCGACAACCCAATAGTAATAGAGCTGAGTCAACATTGACTCATTGTTTTGTAAACATTTAATTACATATTCATTCATTTTGATTTTGGAGTTTACATTTTTGAGCCAATGCCTTTTCTTTGTTCAGGCTTTGGAGTATTTTAAAAGCCTTTGTATATTTTAGGTAGTGTCCACAGTTTAATGGATAAAAAAGGACCCTGACCAGCTGTCTTAGTCTGCTCAGGCTGCCTGAAAAAAGTATCACAGACCGAGTGGCTTAAACAACAGAAATTTATTTTCTCACAGTTCTGGAGCCTGGGAAGTCCAAGATCAAGGTGCTGGCACATACAGTTCTTAATGAACGCCCACTTCCTGGCTCACAGGTGACCACCTTCTCACTGTGTCCTTACACGGAAAGAGAGGAAACTCTGGCATCTATCTCTTCCTCTTCTTATAAAGATACTAATCCCATCATGGGGAACACACCCTCACAACCTTGTCTAAACCTAATTACCTCCCAGAGACCCCACCTCCAAATATACCATCACATTGGAGTTTAGGGCTTCTGCTTATGAATTTGGTGGGGGAAACAAACATTAATTAAGTTCATAACAATATGAATTTTATTTCTCCACCCTTCCATCCTATTACTTTCATCTGTAGACACACTTACTTAAGATGCAAAACATGATTTAAACAGTATTGATTTTTGTTATTTCAGAAATAGGTGAGGATATTTCTCCCTAACAAGGTACTTTGGTATACAGACAGTGAGCTACTCTTCATTTAAAAGAAAGAGTTTCTGGTAGTGGGTTTTTTTTTTTGAATGATGTGGCAGAGTACTTCTTTAGCCAGGAGGGTGAAAACAAAGCAGACAAATGTTGACAAAGAAACCAGGGGTCATCAGTGAGGCACTTATCTCTACTTTCTCTACCTGTACTAGTGACTCCCAAATTGGAAAGGAAAGTCATGGAAACAAAGCAGGAGTCCATCATTATCTTTTCCATTTATGATAGTAATTTCCCTAATTGTTCAAGAACCTGAGAAGTATGATCTCACTTACATGTCGAATCTAAAATAGTCAAGCTCAGAGAAGCACAGAGCAGAATGGTGGTTGCCAGGAGCTAGGGGGAGGGGCCATGGAGAGATGCTGGTCAAAGGGTACAGACTTTCATTATGCAAGATGAATACTTCTAGAGATCCATGTGACTATAGTTAATATTGTATTGTATTCTTGAAATTTGCTACGAGGGTAGCAGACCTTAAGTGTTCTCACGACACACACACACACACACACACACACACACACACACACGGTAACTGGTGACGGATATGTAAGTTAGCTTGATTGTGATTATTTCACAGTGTATATATATATATATATATCAAAATATTAAGTTTTATACCTTACATACGTATAATTTTTGTCAATTATACCTCAATTAAGCTGGAAAAACAACAAAAATAGCAGCCAGTTGGTGTTCTGTGCCCTATGCTGTTAATGAGGATGTGACCTGGGCCAATGTAGGGTGATGTTAAGATACCCTCCCTCCACTCAGCTCTGGGGAGAAAGACAGAGCAAGGGAACACTGTTATTTTAAGACTGGTCTCCAAGAGCAAGAGAGAGAAAGATGGCTGGGACTCTTCTCCCAAGAGAGCAAGGCCTCTGCAGACCTTCCCGCTTGGGGCTTGGGGTGGGGGAATATTTGAACTACTGATATAATTACTTAAAATGACACCTGTTAAACTGCTTCAGACCCAGAGTTTTATGAAAAATCAAGCGAAAAGGACAACTTATTGACCAGGTCTATAGGCCTCCCACCAGCTTTTTGAAAAAACTTTTTTTTAACATTTATTTTTATTGGAAAAAATAGTGAGGCCAGGCTCTAGTCCCCAAGGCTATTTTGAGGCTAAAGCGATGGGACTGCTGAACTCTCTTGGGAGTCTGGCTGGAAAGATTACAAAGTCCTGAGCTAAGTCCATCACCCTGAACTAGCACAGCACAGAAAATGTTAGGAGAAAGAGAAACTATTAGTTTGGCCAAGTTGGGTTTTGGGAGGAGGGGTGAGCAGGGGGTGGAGTTTTCTTAAGTGGAGCTGATAGCTAATGGATTCCAGTCTGGAATCCAGCGTCTAGATTAAAAAAAAAAAAGTGGCAAATTGAGTGTCACATCATTTGGATGAGGACAAATTGCTCTTTAAGGGTTCACACTTACTCTTAGATGGGGACACGTGGCTCTCTGGTTTGCTATTCTGCCCTTGCCTGAACCAGCGTCACCACCTGGGGAGAAGGTGGGGAAGAGGAAAGAAGGGTATCATGGGACCCTTCCCACCCCTTCCCACCTGTCACTCCTGATGTGTCACATGCTTGCACTGGTTTGGGGAGATGGTATCAGCTGCCACTCTACACAGCCCACACACACCATGGGGGGATAGAGCCCGGCCATCTCACTGGCCCTTGGGTTCCAATAAGGACTTTGAAATGTGTTCCCCATATCCACAGTTATTAGGGACTTTTTTTTTCCATAAACAAAACCACTTCCCTCATCCCATCTTATATGTGAGTCAACAGGATCGATGCCTTTTCCAATAATCTTCATCATCACTCAGTACCTAATTAAACCCTTGCTTCATTTCCAGATGAAATTAGAGTCATTCATTAGTTTTTTTTGTTTGTTTTCTAGATGACCCTACATATTTTTCTTAGAATACTTCTAAGTCTTCAGTCCATTGTGATAGCTGTCTCCACCTGCAGAACTACAAGGACTATCTCAAATGTCCTCATCTCCAGCATGAACCTTTCCCTGACTCTCCCAAGCAAAGAATAAATATCGGGCTGTGGGAAAAGTCACGATGTATTTTTTTCTGTTTTTCATTGCAAAAATGCATCATGACTTTTCAAACAACCCAATAGCAGAAAAGCCAAACCCGAGGCCTGTTTTGGGTACCAGTGACAATGACAAAGTTCTACCCTTGCTGAAATGAGGTGAGCAGAACTCAGACATTACTGCTAAGTTTGCACATGGAGAGACTAGCAAGAACTAGCCAGGAGTGCAATAGTAAGAAAGGACACAGGGCTTTGTGTCCCAAAGGCCTGGTTCTGCCTCTTAGAGGCAGAATGACCTTGAGGAGCGGGCTAGGTGCCATTGCCATACACACCGGGCC